GATTCAATACCATAGTATTTGATATCGAATGATCACCTAGTATGAATATTGATACCATAGTATTCGATATCGAATCATCAACTAGTATGAATATCAAATCATTATCTAGTAGGAATATCAATACCATAGTACTATACTAAGATATATATATTATAAATATACTGTATTTATAGTGAGTACCCCCCTCTTTATATATATATATATATTTAAACTATAAGGGCACAACCTTAGTATATAATAATTTAATATTAATGTAAATAGTACTATGGTATTAATATTCCTACTAGATAATAATTTAATATTGAATACTATGGCATCGAATCGATATCCTGACTAGTTGATGATTCAATATCAAATACTATGGTATTGAATCAACATCCATACTAGGTGATGATTTGATATCGAATACTAAGGTATCGAATCGATATCCTGACTAGTTGATGATTCGATATCGAATACTATGGTATTGAATCGATATCCTGACTAGATGATGAGGAATACTATGGTATCAATATTCATACTAGGTGATCATTCGATATCAAATACTAAGGTATCGAATCGATATCCTGACTAGGTGATGATTCGATATCGAATACTAAGGTATCGAATCGATATCCATACTAGGTGATGATTTGATATTGAATACTATGGTATCAATATTCATACTAGTTGATGATTCGATATCCATACTAGTTAATGATTCAATATCCATACTAGTTAATGATTCAATATTGAATACTATGGCATTGAATTAATATCCTGACTAGATGATGATTTGATATTGAATACTATGGTATCGAATCAATATCCATACTAGTTGATGATTCAATATCGAATACTAAGGTATCGAATCGATATCCATACTAGGTGATGATTTGATATTGAATACTATGGTAGGTCATGGTTTAATATTAATACTATGGTATTAATATCCTTAGTATATGCTGCTATCTGTAGAGGTAGTGGCAATATGTAATACAGGCGGTGAACAGTAAAAAACTCCAAAAGTCCACATTGTAGCTATAGTCCGCCGTAAACAGACTTGACGGGAAAGCAGTGCAACACATGGTGCAAACTCTGAATATAATTCAATAATGCCGTAAGATTAACTTCTTTGTCTTGGTCCTCTTGGATAACCCAAATGCCGATTCATCGTAGATCCCGAATATATCCCGTCGACCGGGATGACGCGCACTACGAGTTATCATATATGGCAACAGATCAACAAGCAGATCGAAATAAACTGGGGGTAATCATATTATTAGTATTATAGAAGAAGTTGACGAAACAATTGGAGAAATGGAACGATCCAGTCACCTGCAGCAGCAGTTTCATCCCAAGGATCTCGTCTCAAGTGATGGTGTTTAACTTTGTTAGATCCGGATGTTTTCCCCTGAAGAGCTTCTTCGCCTTCTTCCCCTTCCTGCGGCTCTCAACGCCGCTGACTACACAGACCAATCGAGTGAATCGACACCACACAGGAACTGCTGGTCAAGACTACCTACTTGAGGGCTCGCCTCTGACATCCGTGGTTTGGACACCAATCTCCACCAGAAACGCGTTCATTCGTGGCTTGGCTTCCAACGAGTCGATCTGCAATATACCAACTGGGCAATGAACCACACGAGAGGGAATACGGAGTTAGGGGATCCCACATGGTCCGTTTCCTACCAAGTCCATATTGGCTATGCAATATGAGGCGAGTTTGATCACTGCTAATGTTGTCGATTGTCCAGATCTCAATCTCTCAGAATGAATCGATGGCCAAACAGGGGTCTTACCGAGCTCTACGCAGGACTCGTATTGTGCGGCAATCCAAATAGTTACCTAGGTAGTGTGTGCATCGGCCCTACTACGGAGGAGAACGGAGTGCTCCGTACGATAAAACCGCCAAAGCCTGGGCCTCTGGCTAGAGACGGATGGCATCCGTGGCACGCCGCACGACTCGCAATAATAGACTCTGGCTAATTCAGAATAGAATTTTCTCACTGCCGATTATCTACGGATTATCTTTATTAATGTGGTATGCTTTGTCTGACCTGACTCTTGTCAAGCCGGCTGTCACCCATGTCTCGACATCACCATGCTCAACGGTCGCAGTGAGGCGATTGTTACCGCCACCTCTGTCTTTCTGGCCCTGTCGCTGGTCACCGTGTGCCTGCGATGTTTCGTTCGCGCGCGCATAGTGCGCGCTTTTGGCCTGGATGACTGGGCAATGGTCGCCGCCATGGTAGGTCTTTTCACTGCAATTGATCTCGTCCAGCAGCGAGCTGACGAGTAAAGGCCCTCAACGTAGCATTCGCCATTTGCACTCTCGTTGGTTGCTCTTATGGGATGGGCCAGAAGACGGATTACTTTCTATTGCACCCGGACTATTACCGTCGAGCTCTACTGGTATGATTCATCCTAGGTCGAAAGGGGCAACCACATATGCTGACAATACAAGTGCTGGTGGCTCGGTCAAGTCTTCTATGTCATCACCTGCGTCGTCGCCAAAATGTCCATCATCATCTCCCTCCTGCGCATCACGATTAACCGAGCGCACATCTTCACCCTCTACGCCGCCATGGGCCTGGCCCTGGCTGTGGGTCTTCTCTTCTTCTTTTTCACCATCTTCGAATGTAAACCGGTCGACTACTTCTGGGACCAATTCACCAAGCCGGGGTCGTGCCTCGATAAGGATATTCTCATTGCCATTGCGTATACCTACAGCGTGGGTGCGGCCGTCACCGATTTCACGATTGGAATATTGCCCGTATTCATCATCTGGTCGCTGCGGATGAACGCCCGGACGAAGATGGCCATTGCAGGGATTTTGGGATCGGATGCATTGCCAGCGCGGCCGTCATTGTTCGAATTCCGTTTATCCACAATTACAAGGACCCCGACTTTTTCTATGCAACCTACCAAGTGAGCGATCACTCTCAAGGATGACCAACAAAAGCTGACTTTATAGATCTCAATCTGGAGTAACGTCGAAGCCGGACTGGGCATCACGGCAGGTTCGCTGACGACCCTACGTCCTCTGGTTCGCTTTCTTCGGGATGGCTCTTCGGCCTCACGAAGTCATCAACGACAACCAGGCTCATTTCCGCTATCTGGCAACATGCCCAAGGGGCTCACGCGCCGGTCGAAACCCGATGAGGCGGGCGACGACGCACGTCGACTGTGGACGGGAATGGCGGACGAGGAGTATCAGGGCGTCACAACCACGATTATTACAGGGAGCCATCCCACAAAGCGGGGAGAAAGCGAGGAGAGTCTAACCAATTGATTCATATACTGTATTATATACTTGATAGACTTTGGGGTTACATAACAGCAACAGACATTTCCATCATAGGTCCCACTGTCCCATTGTTCCCTTACCCCAACGCTGGTACGGTACCTCTCGACCTCGTCTCCAACTCAATTCAAGCTGGATTTCTTGGTAAGGATCACGCTTACTTTATGTCATAAACTATCAAGCAGCTAGCGAATGGTGGGGGTGAGTGCATCATATTCCAACGTGGATAGCGCTTAGCAAGGATTGACTAAGATTTAGCAAACCCTGACAGAGCAATCAGATGCATCAGAACAACAGAGGACCCATTAGAAAGACTTTCATCCTGCTTTGCTGATGCTTTGCTGATGCTGATGTTTCTCTGAGGGGCAGCGACCGCGTAGGTTGCTACGGAGGTCCGCTTGCAGTACCCAGTTAGCCACGTCATGACATCATCAATGCCATCACTTGTCCGCTGATTCCGGGGTATATAACCACCCCTCTTTCCTGCAATTTTCTGTTATTTAGAGAGGTACAGTCACAATCATCTGAAGATCTATCAAGTTTATAATATACCTTACTACCGTCAAAATGCCCATTCCCGTCCCCGCCGCCTCCTCACTCCTCGACCTCCTCAGCCTCAAGGGCAAGACCGTGGTGGTGACCGGCGCCTCCGGCCCCCGCGGCATGGGCATCGAAGCCGCCCGCGGCTGCGCCGAAATGGGCGCCAACATCGCCCTCACATACGCCTCCCGCCCCGAAGGCGGCGAGAAGAACGCAGCGGAGATCGCCAAAGCCTACGGCGTCAAGGCCAAAGCCTACAAGTGCAACGTGGGCGACTGGGAGAGCGTGCAGAAGCTGGTCAAGGACGTCCTCGCCGAGTTCGGGCAGATCGACGCCTTTATCGCGAATGCGGGACGCACCGCCAGCTCGGGGATCCTGGACGGGTCCGTACAGGACTGGACGGAGGTGATTGAGACGGATCTGACGGGCACGTTCTACTGCGCGAAGGCTGTCGGCCCGCACTTCAAGGAGCGCGGCAAGGGCAGCTTCGTCATCACGAGCAGTATGTCCGGCCATATTGCGAACTATCCGCAGGAGCAGACGAGCTACAATGTTGCCAAGGCGGGGTGCATTCACTTTGCCAAGTCGCTGGCGAACGAGTGGAGGGATTTTGCGCGCGTCAACAGTATCTCGCCGGGGTACATCGATACCGGCTTGTCGGATTTCGTGGACAAGAAGACGCAGGATCTGTGGCTGAGTATGATTCCCATGGGCCGCAACGGGGACGCAAAGGAGCTCAAGGGCGCGTACGTGTACTTGTGCAGCGATGCCAGCTCCTACATGACCGGGACGGACCTGCTCATTGACGGGGGATACTGCATTCGGTGATAGCCACTATCCACCTTCCAATCAATTCCACTATATATACTCCGTAAGCCATTCTTCGCTCGCCGCAATCAATAAGCAAAAGGCCCAGCCACATCCGTAGTCACCGTCCCACTCTCCACATAAACCCCCGACCAGAACCAATCCTCGGCAGGCGCATTCACCCCATTATCCAGCCTCAGCTCACCCACATGCCAATCCTGGGAATTGGTGAACGTATTCGCGCCCACATTCTCCACGATTTTCTTCAGCGCCTCCGCCCCAGTCGACGCCCACAGGCCCACCGTCTTCGCGTCAAAATCGATATCATACGCAAAGTTGTACCACGTCCCGGCAACCAGAGAAGTCGACCACTCCGTCTGCCCGCTCACCATCCACCGCAGCGTATTATCGTCCGCGGTGCCGCCGAGCCGCCCGTACTTGAGTTCCGTGAAGTGGTTCTAGCATCTCATCAGCCGTGTCACATTACAGGGGAAGTGATGGGACGGGGGGGGGGGGGGGGGGGGAGGGTACCTCGAAAAACGCAATCTGATGCTCGAGGCTTGGATCCGGGGCGTTGGTCTCGCGCGTCGACATTGAGAAATGGTAGTACAGATGTCCCTGGCCCAGGTTGGTGGTGGTTGTCTGGGCTCCCTGGGGGATAATCTCGCTGCGCATCATTGTTTGGCCGTTCCACGAGGAGGTATTGTCCTTTTCCTCATCAGTTTCTCTTTAGATATAGAAAGGGGATAGGGGAGGAAAGGACCTACGATGGTGATTCGGATGCCCTGCGCATCGACCTTGGGGGCTGGGTTCTTGAAGTCGGGCGATAGGCCTAGGTAGTGAGATGTGGGCTGCGAGCCGTGGATGTACCATTGGTACGGGGGGATTTGGTTGGACCAGGACCCTATATTGCATTGTCAGTGTACATATGAGTGAAAGGGAGGGGGTGTATGTACATTGGTCAAAGTGGTCGACGGTAAAGTTGGCGTCGAAGAAGCCGCTCCAGAGCACGTCGCAGCGGACGAGGGGGAGGAAGAACAGCCAGGATTTCATCTTCTCCATTTGATACGATGACTGTGTGATTCAATTCAAGCTTATCTGCTGGGTGACAGATGTCTGCGATGTCTGCGATCTGCTTTATATACAAAAGTGTCTCATGCTGAAACGGCTAAATTGACTATGTTCAGGTGTTTCATCACAACCCTTCAGAATTCAAATAAAGTAGTCTAGGATGCCTGCATCTGTCATACCGTTCGTCAATCATATTCATACCAGATGATCTGCGTCTTATATTCCCAATCAGATACGGGGTTGATAGTATCGTCTGATTGATAATGTCCTGCATTTATCCAGCGGACCGCTGGTCCGACACTTGGCGAATCCAATTCAATCAACCCGCGACGTCAAAGCTAAGGATCAGGCTTTGGTTAATTTGTCGTCCCCCGAATCCGTCGCGACATCAACCACCTCGGCAAAATGCATCCGGGGCAGGCTGCGCGCCACACGGGGCGGGTCGAAGATGCTCTTCGACTGGATGAAGATCTCGTCGATCTCCTCGAGGGTGCGGCCGTTGGTCTCAGGGAAGAAGAGGTAGACGGTCGGTACGATGGCTGCGTTGAGCACCGCGAAGATGATGTAGTACTGATACCCGATGGAGTTGAACCCGACGGGCGTCACCTGCGCCAGGAGGAAGTTGAAGGTCCACACGGCGGCCGTGGAGACGGCGCTGATGGCCGCGCGCAGCTGCAGGGGTGCGACCTCGGTCGCGTACAGGAACGTCAGGCCCGAGTAGCCGACGGTGAAGATAAATTGGAAGACAAACAGGAAGATGACGGCGACGACCGTCGCGCCCGTGCTGTCCGTCACTGAGGTGGTCCCCGCTAGGATGGCCATGGAGATGGACATGGCCGCGGCACTCCACAGCATCAGGGGCCGCCGGCCCAGCCGGTCGATTGTGAAGAAAGCTAGGAACCCGCCCAGTGGCTGTGTCAAGCACATCGACCCCGCCAGGATGCGCGAGTTGATCGCGCTCATGCCCAGGTACTGCTCGAAGCTGGTCGTCGCGTACATGCTGATCAGGTTGATCCCGCACATCTGCTGGAACATCTGCCCGCCTGCCGCGAGAAGGGTGCGATGGAACAGCCGCTGCTCGCCCATCGTGAGCATGCTCTTGAACGAGCCATTGCCGCAGATGGACAGCGATAGTTCAATGTCACGAATGTCCGCGCTGATCGAGTCCGAGTCCGGCTCCACATCGGCCAGCGCGGCAAGAATCTCTCGGGCTTCCTGAATCCGGCCCTTTTTGACCAGCCACCGGGGCGATTCGGGAAAGATCACGATGAAAACCATCACAATCAACAGCAAGACAATCTGAAAGGCAACGGGGAACCGCCACGAGACCGAGTTGCCGGTGATGAAGTAGAAACCAAAGTCGATCCAGAGAGACAAGGAGACACCAATGCCAATGAAGATGCCGTCAGTCACCACATGGGCACCCCGCTTGCTGGCTTTCGAGATCTCCGACTGCCACACCGGTACCGTCGCCAGATATGCACCCGTCCCTAAACCCAGAACCAGTCGAGCCACGATGAACTGAGCAAAGTCGAATGCCGTGGCCATCAGAACTGCACCGACGATGGTCACGGCGGATGCAAGAAAGATAACCTTTCGACGACCCAGGCGGTCTCCAAGGTAAATGCATGATAGGGAGCCGAATATACCCCCGACGGTGAAAAGGGCCACGACGGTTCCTATAATCGTTAGGCCCTATTCCACGTTGGATGCAGTGGACATACCCTGAATGGTGGAGTTGTAACGCTGCTGAGCCCCTGTGGTATTTACCGTATCAATCTGGGGAAAGGTTTCGACGAACGACTCCAGCGTCAGCAGCCCACCGGCCACGCTCAGGTTATATCCATAGGTGACAAAGGCCGGGCACACGACTAGACAGATGATGGCCCGGCTCAAGGCAGATCCACGGAGGCCAAAATAGGGCGCCATCTCAATGGTGCAGTATATGCAAGAACCGCAGGTATCTCAATCTCAATGACGGGCGATACTGAAACACAGACAGCTATAAGGCTCTTCAATGCCCCGATCTGATGGATCACACATTGCCAGAAATGTCAATTGCATTTATATACCAGATGTCCATTCTGTACGGTCATCGGCGGGCGCCGGGGAGGCGATAGACCAAGTGGACCAGGGTTCCCCAGAACTTCGCCTGGGGCTGTTGGCTGGCCGATCATCGGTGCTCACTTCTCCTGCTGACTTTAGTGTATTTCCCCAGACCAAATGGACGATGGGATCCCATTCTGAGGTTCTGCCCCGTCTTCCCCAGAGTTGAGTGGGACTCGAGTGGCCCTGCAGCACGGTTCAGAGAGCAGCCGCAAACTCACGAATCGTAGCATTTGAAAGAGTAAGAGAAATTCGAGCCGACAAAACGCCCAGAAGCGAACAGCAGATTCTCGGGACGACCGATCCAATAAAGGCTGTTCCCCGCTTGTTAGTCCATTATTGTAGTTGATTCTCCACTGTGCTGGTTCAGGCTCTTCCATCGGGCCCGGCCGATCTGGCATTGCCTCGGCCAGATTGGATTCGACGGAATGGCTGTCTGAAGGAATCCTAAGCCATTGTGATGATAGTATAATGATATGCTAAATGGAACAGTTCCAGTTGCTGGATGGCAGATGCACCCCGCGATGCAGAGTACAAGGAAAGATGGAGGGATGGATGCGGGCATGTCCGCGCCAAGAGCATCGCAACCACCGGGGCTAACAGATAGACGAGAGCTTCAGGGTTCACCTTGGTTGCTGCTCGGAAGCAGTATGCATAAGCATGCAGTGCTGGCATAATTACGTATGCAACGGGGAGGCTGTGCTGTGGATTGGGGGAGTATACCTTAGTTATATTATTTAGATGCTCCACTGGCCAAGAGCGTCAAGCTCCCAGCTCCACCCATAGCAGTAGTACATAGATCAGTGCTATAGTCTCATGTGGCTCGCTGTGGCTTTGTCCGTGGCTGAGGTTATTCCCTCTTCGACGCTGTTAGTCTGTTTGCTTAAAGCTGACTCCAATCTGCTTCTCCATGATGTATCATCCATCTTCAAGGTTTACCTTCTACATTTGGATCTGGTCCGGACAACCAACTATTAAGGCACTGCATTCTTCTCTCGACGCTTTCAACAGGGCTTGCGATGGATTTGCCACAATTACTAGGTGAACAATGCCGCTTAGTTACCTCCTGCAGTCAGACAGCACACGCGCAGCCTTGCGGTAGCGTACGATTGGGTCGCATGTTGTTGCCCTACTATAAGAGCCATGCATATTACCCCGCAGGCCCCGAGGCGAAGTTGCTCCATCATACACATCCCGAAGCAATGCTGATTGCTTCTCCGAGCATCCTCCACCATGTGGTATGTTATGGACTTGCTTCTGCTGGCCGGCGCAGTCGCATACGCACTGCGTCCGCCTCAACGCGCCACCCTCGAGGAAACGGTGCAGCTGCATGCGTCTCCGAAAGAGAACAATGAGGTTCCCGAGACCATATCTGAACGAGATGATGAGGCTTCTGATAACGTGTCTGAAACGAGTACTTACACGCCTCCTGAGAGAGAAGCTCGCTCCCTAGAAGACTGGCTGGTGCCCGTTCCGGATGCTACATGGCATCACCACATCCGTAAAACGAGGCAGGACAAGACTGGAGAAGGGCTGTTAGCCTCTGCCAAGTTTCAGAAATGGTTCGCAACAGACGGAGCGACGTTGCTTTGTACAGGCTTGCCAGGCACTGGTAAAACCGTGCTCGCGTCGGCCGTCATTGACTATCTGCAAGACAAACTCGAGGAAGATGCCAGCGTCGGCGTGGCTTTCCTCTACTGCAGTGCTCGAGACTACGAGCGCCGAAAGCCCATTGACCTCTTGTGGAGCCTACTCAGACAGTTTGTTCAGAAGTCGCCAAAGGTCCTTCCGGAAACCCTCCAATTGTTCTACAAAAGTTACAAACTCCAAAAGCCACCCCGGTTGGCCATCGAGGATGTGTCGAAAGCGATGCAGATCATGGTCAGGGAATATTCAAGAGCGTTTGTGGTTATTGATGCGTTGGATGAATACGACTGGAAGAATGATGAGCTGCATACTTTTCTGGACGTTATTGTCGCCCTTCAGGCACAGACCGGACTCAATCTCCTGGCTACATCGCGGCATGCGTTTGACGCCGGAAGCAGATTCTACGGTTGCCTGTCATTGACTATTCGTGCTTCTGACAACGATATTTGGCTCTATCTGCAGAACCATATGGCCAGACTGCCACCGTCTGTGCGGGACAATCCGTATCTTCTGGACAATATCAAGGATGATATTGTCCACGCCTCTAATGGGGTGTATGTATACATCTCTATTCAGTTTCGTTTCTCCCGTCCTGGTCTAATGCAGCTGTTCGTCCAGATTCCTTCTCGCACGTCTCAATCTGAGCTGTTTGGAGAGCAGCCTATCAACGGATGAAATCAACGCCGTCTGGGAACAGATTCGTGCGAAGCGACCGAACGGGCTTACTGAGGCAGATGTATTAGATACAATAGCTCGGGCATGTTCGCGAGCGATAGACAAAATAAAACGACAAGCACAGGGGTCCCGAAGCCTTGCGGAACGAACATTAGAGTGGCTCAGCTGTGCGAGGACGCCGCTGAAACTCTCAGGGCTGAAGCAAGCCCTCGCCTCAGAGCTTCCTGCATTTGAGGGGACGGAAGCAGTGCCCGCAGCGGAGGATATTGTTTCAGTCTGCGCCGGACTGGTTACGGTTGACATAGAGGCAGACACCGTCTCCTTTCTCCACTGCATCATACATGAGCATTTCGAGCAGAACTGGAGACTTTACTTTCCGAATGCAGAGGATAGCCTTACGAAAGTCTGTATCACACATTTGACGAAGGTTTTCCAAAGCGAACCAAGCCATGCAGAGGATCAGATTGAGGAATCCTCTCAACAGAATGCCTTTACCATCTACGCAGCCAAAACCTGGGGATACCATGCTCGTGCATCACCCGCAGAAGCAACAGAAGATTTGGTTCATCAATTTCTCCGCGCCGACGCTGCTGTTGCCGGTGCTTGCCAGGCAATGGGCCTCTGCGGTGGCATCCAACCTGATAATACCTGCGGAGTGCATCTCGCGGCATACTTTGGACTGGAAAAGGCAATGGCCGCGCTACTCAAAGACGGCCACAGTCCAGACACGAAGGCTCTGGGCGGTAAAACACCACTGCTCTTGGCTGCAGAGATGGGTCATAAAGCAGTATTTGCATTACTACTCAAGGAGTCGGGTGTACGAATTGAATGCAAAGACTCTGAACACGGGCAGACGCCCATTATCAGCGCCGCGAGACACGGTCATGGCACAATTGTAAAGCTTTTGCTCGAGCATGGTGCCAACCCGGAGTCAACGGATGGCATATTCAACCAAACAGCGCTTTCCTGGGCTGTAAAGAACGGCCATACGGAGGTTGTCAAGTTACTACTTAACCACAACGCCCGGATACCTTGCAGCCGAGTTGAGTTTGACCCGAAATGGCTTCTGGGCTCAGAGGCTGGCTTCCATGACGCCTTCGTGCAGGAGTTTCTTGCTGGGACCCCACTAATTTCAGCGGCGTGGAACGGACACGTCAGTATGGTGCTCTTGCTCCTGGAACACGGGTGTGATCTGGAGACCAGGGACAGCATATTCGGTCAGACGGTGCTGTCGTGGGCGGCATGGAAGGGTCGTGAGGGAGTGGTCCGATTACTGCTAGAGAAGCAGGCCTTAACGGACACGCATGATAAACTCGAAATGACGCCGCTGCACTATGCAGCACTTAATGGACATGCGATGATTGTTCGCGAATTGCTCGAGAGCGGCGCCGATATCGAGTGCCGACAAGATCACTACGACTGCACGCCGCTGTCTCTGGCGGCATGGACCGGCCGTCAAGCCGTGGTCCAGTTACTGCTGGACAAGGGCGCTGATTTACAGGGCGGGAGAGCGCTCGAATGGGCCCTTGATAACGGACCCGAAATAAACCTGAGATTTCTGATCAAAGGCGTGGAATACCGTCGTGATCCCGCGTCTTGCTCACAGAGCGACCTCGAGAAAGCGGAGCCAGGAGACGAACATCTGAAAGTGTTCGCTTTGTTATGTCTCGGCCGTTTTGATCCTCAGGAAACGGTAGAGGTGTTTTTGGACGTGGTGATGGACCAGTTACCGGCTTTATGGGGCATTTGGAGCAGGCAAGGCGATATGTTGAAGTTGTTAATGGGAAAGGGAGCATCGATTCCTCTCGAACAAGGCATCGAGTCCGACAAGACGGTTCTTGCAATAGCCGCAGAAAGAGGCTTTGAAACATTGCTCAGCGTGCTCATTGAGCAGGGAGCTGATATAGAAGTCAGGGACGCCGTTATTGGCAAGACACCGCTTCACTTTGCTGCAGAGAACGGCCATCACATATTGGTCAAGATATTGCTCGACAACGGTGCGGATATCGAAGCTCAGGACATCCTGTTCGGGCAAACACCACTTTTATGGGCTGCTGAGAAAGGCCATACTGCTGTTGTAAAGTTGCTGCTGGATAGAGGTGCTCAAATTGAGGCAATTGACGAGGAGCACGGTCAAACACCATTGCTGTTAGCAGCAAAGAATGGACATGGAGACGCAGTCAAGTGCCTGCTGGAGATGGGCGCCAACACTGAATGTAGGGACACCCAACACTCAATGACGCCACTTGATTGGGCTATAAAGAATGGCTATGGGGACGTGGAGAAGCTGCTCAAGCAGCAAAGTGTTGAAAGACCAACATCTTGAACCCCTGTTCTTTAGAATTCCTTAACATTGACTGTCTTCCTGGGTACATGCTTCATAGCTATACAGAGTAGAAGGGGGAGATATCGTTCATTTCGGCGAGTTCTGTTGCCGTATGCCCGTCACTATTCCTAAGTCGAGGATTGGCGCCATTCTTCAGCAATATTCGTATCACTGCCTTGTACCGATCCACAACCGCTGCCTCTTCCTGGCTGAGTTCCAGCTGTTTCCTCTGAAGTAACTGTAGGATTGCCTTCTTGCCAGCCGGGGCTGTATGAGCCACAACATGCAAGGCAGTATCTCCAGACATCGTCATATGGTCGTTGGCTTTTGCTCCGTGTCTTAGGAGTAGTTCAACAAGTGCCGGCTGTCCCGCCCAGGCTGCATAGTGCAGCGGATGCCCTCTGTAGAATTGCTCGGAATAGACGCCTATTCCCGTCTCCAGGAGCAACTGGGCAGTTTTTTCCTGCCCGTGCAATGCAGCCAAGTGCAGAGCTGATGGCTCATACTCGTGCGGTGCCCTGGGATTAACACTGCACTCGAGCATGAGTCGGACGATGTCCACTTGGCCGTCTCCAGCAGCTTTACGTAGCGCTGCTTCCACGTCGGCGTGGTCCACCAGTGCTGGGTTTTTCTTCAAGAGATCCTCGACAATGGCCACATCCCCGCGTGCCGCAGCTGCTACCAGAGCCTGTGCTTGAGCATTGATCGACTGCTTAATTAACCGCTGATCAGTAGGCAACACCACATCTGCTTCCTGTCCTTCCTTGGCAGCCGCTTCCATCGAGTGCGTGACGCTCTCGCCGTTCTCTTCAAGTTCCGGTTGCAATACACCCAGATCTCCATCTTGTGCGGCCCCTTGTAGCGTCAATGTGTTGTCTTGTGCTGTCGTCGTGGAGATGGATTGAAGCAGCCGAACAATATCCCCCTTGTCGTTCTTAGCAGCCACATCTAGTGCTATTCGTCCTTCATGGTCCGCCACCGAGGCATTGGCCCCATTCTCAAGAATTAACAAGACCAAGGCTTTCCGGCCGTTCTTCGCCGCTCGATGAAGAGGGGTCTCTCCATTGTTGTTCTCCACATTGACCTCCGCACCGTGCTTTACGAGGAGCTCGGCTACCGCCAGCACGTCTGCCTCCCTCTTGACGAGGAGACGTGCTAATGCGTGGTCCCTACTGCCGCAGGCTCGATGAAGCACAGAGTCACCATTTTTGTCCCTGGCATTGATGTCTGCTCCCGCTTCAATCAGTCTCTGTACCACATTGGTGTGTCCATGCAATGCCGCTTCATGCAGAGCAGTCCGTCCACGTTCATCTTGGACATCCGATCTCGCGCCTGCCTCCACCAGTAGATGCACCAGCGTCTCATGTCCTTTCTGAGCAGCCAGGTGCAGTGGTGTCATCCCCATCTGGACTTGCTTGTTAATGTCGGCACCCCGCTTGACCAACTCCCACGTCACTGCGTCGTCTCCATTTGTCGTGGCCCATGATAGCGGCGTCCGTCCAACTGTGTCTGCGGAATTGACATCCACGGTATCCTGCGACAGAAGCAACTTGACAATGGCCAAATGGCCCTTTTCTGATGCCAAGGATAATGGTGTTCTCCCGTCCTCGTCTTTGCAGTCGACATCAATATGGCCATGGGAGTAATAGGCCTGCAGTGCTGTCCGAGCCAGTTCTTTGAAACGTTCGAGGACCGTTCCGCTCTTAAAGGCAAGAAAGACTAAAATATAGCTGATTAAGGTTATTCTCCAAATCTGCGCCGCAACTGCACTGAACAAACCATGTCTCGCTGAGGCGTGCAATAATGTGGTCTTAGGGACGGGCCATTCGATGCTCCGCTGGGTCCAGATTCTAACCCAGGAGTCCACCTTCCGAGAGGAAGGCCAGTCAAAGCAGGTTAGAATCTCATCCTGAGCTACGTCCATGGCCTCTGCCTGCTCTGCATGTAGCATCCAGGAAGATATCGCGTAGTCAAGGAAGGGAAATTCATGGTCGGAAACATGGCCTTCCCGCTCGACAACCTCATCCGTCGACATGTACTTAATGCAAGCGGTTGCCAATTGGATATGAGCCCGTCCAATGACTATAATCACGGACCAGAGACGGCGATCCAAGATTTGGAACCCCTCGAGTGTGAGATAGTCCTTCACAGTTTGATGAATCAGTTGTGCGAATGGCGTATCATTGTACGTTTTTGCTTCCGCAAGTCCTCCGGAGAGGCTCTTCAGTCTCTTTTCCATCTGTTTGTTGTCCTTGATTGATCCGAGATGTTTCCCCGGGCATGAGACTTTCTTACGAATATTCATAGCATGCCGAAGCTCAGTCAGGGAGAGCGGCCTGCTCGCAAAGCACAGCCACTGGAAGAGCTCTAGGGTTTGGGGCGAATCATTTTCCGGACGTCCCTCGACAAGCTGATGAATAATGCCTTGGAAGACGCGGTTCAAATCTGTTGGAGTCGTTTGAAGATGACTGCGCATCTGCTCCACGCTGAATCCTGCTCTATGCTGCGATAGTATGACAGGGAGAACCAATCTCACCCATAGAAAGACGCCGTTCGATCGATCTACGATCTCCTCCTCAAGGCTGTGCCGATCAGCCTCATCTTCAAACTCCTCCAGCGCTCTTCCAACGTATATCCTGATGTCGGCAAGGTTTCTCGTGTCCACGCAGATTTCCACGCCACCTGTCCACTTCACGAGTGGATAATGGCGACAAGTAACGCATAAACGTACGGAGTATCCAAGGGCCGGAGTTTCCGCTTGTAGTCTCCTGAAAAATCGTTCAAGAGCCAGGATATCTTCTACAGCGCACTCGTCGAGCGCATCAACAAGTATCTCGACAGTATGCGTGGCCAGCATCCTGCGCAGGCATTTTATAAGCAGCTCCTGGAGTTCGTTAACCTGATATACGCAGATTTGATCGAGGGTCACAAGGCTTTTGTGGGCTTCCTGGAACTCTTCCACAATATCGAGCACATGAGGTCGTACTCGCTCTCGGTTCTGGAGAAGCAGTTGATGTAGAAAGGTTTGATACACGCCGCGAGGCGTCCGCTGGAGTTCTGAGCCTCGATCATAGAAGAAAAAGGAAAGAACAATGTCCCCTTGAGTCTCCTTAATAAGAGCATACTTGAGCAATGTTGACTTCCCTGACCCCGGTTTCCCAGTCAGCCAGAGCAAGCCATTTTTCTCACCCTTCCATTGAACAAACGCTGGGTCCTGAAGTAGCCAGCCGCAAGTTCCCTCCGCAGCGTCATCTATTTCGTGCTGACGACGGTTCATTTCTTGGAAGGAAAGAGACTGCAAAAAGTCTGCCAAGGTTGAGTAAGGTTAGTCTCAACTCGCATAGCCAGCGTTATTCTCCTTCACTATGACAGAAGAGGGATAAGGAAATGACTCTTTGCCGTCTGTTTCATATCGTCGTCCTTTGAGTAGCATGGCACAGTTGCAGGTATGCATTGCACCGATGACATCTCTAAGCTACATCCTCGGAATAGATAGATAAAACGAGCGAGGAGTGGGATAGATAGAACAACCGACACAAATATTGGGTCTGGTTCATAACTGGCTTAGAGTGCAGGAATCCAAGAGATTTGCCATTGTTTCATTCCCAATCAAGTCTCATTTCGGTGCAATAGACACCACAGTCTCACATTCAACTTAAGAAGCGGGCTTACCGATAGCATTCGACGCGGTATCTGTGCTTTTGAGCTCTTGGGCGCGGACGCTGTAGAGCACTTCTTTGGCTGCAGCTGCAGCGGTGGCAGCCGCATAGCCATGCCAGCGGTCGTTTTTATGATAATCGGCATAGTCGCTGACACCCCGAATCACAAGGCAAGGGAAGGCGTTCATCAAACCCGCTGCTTCCATCTCAAAACACAGGACATTGCCCAGCTCCTTCCTCATGCGGTCGCGAGTTCTCGAATCCTTGATTACCTGGTTGCCAGATGCGATGAGGCCGTAATGAACAACCGGGTCGTCGTTATGGCGGCCAGGCCTTTGCACTGGCATCTCGACCTCGCCAAATCCATCAGCATCGGAAGTTCCTTCTGCCACCTCATATATAACATCATTCTCGCTCCCCGGGTGTGCGAAAAACTGTGCCGTGGCCGCAGGACGGTTCTTCGGTATATCCTGAAGAAACTCGGGAATGCGATATTGACCTAGAAGATGGTTCGCTTTCAGAGCGTTCAGCGCGTTCAACAGCACTCTCGGCGGGGCGTTCAAGAACCCCGTCCTTTCAAACCGATGCGCGAATGTCTTCCCGCGGTCGTACTGCACAACGCCGCCAAGCTGGCCCTGCGGTTCGCTGATGATGATATCGCCAAGCCGAATATCTCTACCGGGCCCTGGTATACCACCGCCGATTCCAACTAGCAGGCCGAATCGGATCGTGGGGAAACTTGAGAGCATTTGTTGTGCAGCCGCGGCCGCTGGAGCAAGGCCGTACTCGCCAGCTGGAAGGCAAGCAATGGCAACACAGTGATTCTTGATTCGTCCCAATACGTACTGATTGGTGTCTGCTAGATGCTGTTCTTGGGGCTCGTCGTAGAGCTCGTCCAACATTGTCGTTGCTACCGCTCGTTCTGTAGGCAGGGCGCAGATCCATCCAACAGTGAAGGCTTGATTCGGCATCGAAACTGGAGCCATGGTGTTCGCGGCTGTCCAGGTGATACGTGCGTGAATGTAACAGGTGGGATATTCACCGTTGTAATGAGATTCGTTGCCTGCTGCTTGTACAGCGTCCGACTCCGGAAGTGCCGCCGTACAGATTGTTAAGTATAGAGTATATCTTTGGATTCGTATCGTTAGCTTTGAAAGGCTGAGTGACACGTCACCTGTCCTCAACTTACCCCAGATCAAATTATTTATTGCTGAGGGGTCAGTCTGACTTCTGGTTCGTTATTGGGTGTAAGATGTAAGAGCTAGAACGAAAGCTACCAAGCGTCACGGAATAGGCATTAGATGCATGAAGGTGACGGGATCAGCTTAACAAGAGGGGGAAAATGAGGGCGAATAGGAGGAGGAGCAGCATCAGCAGCCATACACACAAACAAAACAACAGCGGCAATCAAGAGACCGCGGAATATTCTGCTCAATCTATACGGGGTTTTGCTTCTAAATACTATAAGATGAGGGTAATTAAGCCTTGAGCACTCTGTTGCTGCATACTAGCTGTGTAGTATCTCACAACTCCTTAAGTACTGTCCTCCATTCACCACTGGCAGCCTTCCATAGACCCAACACTGTCAACAGCCATCTGCGTTTTCTCCGCCATCGACTTCCTGTTGATTTCGTCTGGAATTCTACTTGTCAAAACGCGAGCTGTCTCCTCAGTACCTCGCGATCAGCCAGCTTCTTCGATCGTCGACAGGCATTTGGCGCAGTATCTTTGCCTCCGTCCGCTTGACTAACACATATGTGCTGATGATTACTGGCCCACACAGTTTGCGTAAAGCAATGTCTCTCTCCAAGATATTCAAACTCTCGTCGAGTGACTTCGGCAGAATGGTATTGATTCCCAGGGCCTGCCGCTCGGCCGGCGACAGCTCTGATGCAGATGCCACGCAGTCACCTCCCTGCAGAGGCTCATGATTCCGCATCCCTTCGATTCCAGCGGCGATCATTGCGGACAAGGTGAGATAAGGATTTGCGAGGCCGTCAGCCAGCTTGAACTCGAAATGATTCTCCTCGATGCGACGAAGTGGAACCTCCTTGTTCTCCCACCCCCAGCAGGCGTATTCGCCCCCACTCCAAAGCCCAGGTGCGACACGACTGTAGCTGATATCGTGAGGCAAGGAGAAGGCCATGATGGCGGGCATATGGCTCATGATACCTGCGAAGAAGGATTCTGCCTTTTGGACCCAATTCTCTGATTCACCCACAGAACTTACTGACAAATGTACGTGACCCCCGTTACCGGGATGGACGGGTGATGGACGCGAATACACTGTAGCATGATACCCGAATGAGGTTGCAACTCGTTTGATGGTCTCACGAGCCCTGATCAGCATATCAGCGGCCTGGATGGGCCGCGCAGGCGGCAGGACAAACTCCCATTGACCTGGTGCCGCCTCAGCATGGAACTGCTCCAAGGGAACATCTGCCGTAACCAACGCCCGCGCAATGGCCTCCAGCATCTCCAGCATCGACTCATCCTCGGCGGTCATACTGGACCACGAATGCTCGTAATTGGTCATGGAGAATCGCATGACCCCATCGCTCTTTTCGGCTCGCATAAACATCACCTCGATCTCAAAACCGACCAATGCCGAGCACTCGAGCTCGCTCAACAGCGTCTCCTCCAGCTCTCTCAGCCGCGACCTCGCGCACTGCGAGACCGCCGTGCCTTCATCGTCTACAAAGTCGCACATAATGACCGCTCGAGTTCCATTGGATCCTGGCTGGCAATATACGGTCTCGAAATCTGGGCGCAACCAGAATTTGCCCGACGCGAGACCACCTTCTGCGATAACATCGCCCGGACCCAGGAGGAGTGCGACTTCGGGGATGGTGATAAATTTGCCCATTTGTACCATGGCTTTGAACTTGTCCATGGGGAACATGCGCGTATAGACTAGACTGCGGTAGGACATGAATTGTAGCCAGACGAATTCGACGTTGCCATGTTTGGCGACGAAGTTGTCCCACTGGGACGTGTGTTGCTCGACGCCCATTTTGTGCTGCGACTTGTAGCTGTTAGTTTGACGATGAAGTGAAGAATTGATGGCGAGAGTTGTGTAGGCGTCAGTCCATGTTGAAGCCAAAGGGATACGACCCTAGACCGCCAATCTGTGTCGCGCTGACTGCGGCTGGGATACGTAGACTCATACGGAGTACGCCAATCAGAAGAACACATCATGGACTGCAACCATTGCTTGCATTGTTAGTGTTGATTTGATGACAGGGGTCTATGACAGTCGCTCTCTATTCGTCATTCAGTTCGGGCTGAATCTCGACTCTTTCTAGAAAATCTTTGTCTTCAATTGTCCAGACCTGTAGCTTGCAATAGCAGATACTTTAATATTACTTCTCAACTTCGGCAAACGGGACATCCTTAAAGAGCGGATTGTTTAGAGGAGGAAAGCAGCCTTATGGTGAGGATGATTTGAGGTTATGGTGTGGCTGGGCAGGGGATACTTTCTCACCAAAAACTCCGTCTCCTTTCACCCATCCCAACTCACCGAAAATCATCAAACCATCATATCCCATTGAATAAGAATCAGTAATCGAAAGAAAGGTGACTGAGACAACCTTAGGGAAAAAGCTTCGGTGTTTTACCCTTGACACATCAGAAATGGCACACATTGGCTAACCCTTGTTTCAATCGTCTTAGGAGCCGCTGATCTTTGTCAAGGTTCGCAACTTCGCATTGCTTCGAAGACAGGTCCACAAAAGACTCGACTCGGCCATGGACGGAGGGGATACTCAATCTCGTTTTAGTATTGTTCATCGACCGCGCAGCCCCACTGCAGTTTCCAATGATTGATAGCGATTATCGTTTCTCGGAATAGGGTCCCGCGTCCTGACTCGTTAAAGTTCAATGAGGGTTTGGGGGCCTGAGATGACTCGGTCGCACTTCTTAGATCCATAGAGACATGCGTGCAGCCTGGCAGGTTCCCGTCGGTCCCCTAGTTTGACGAGTGAACAAGAGGAGTGATATTGGAGGCGACTTGGGTGACAACACGACTGTCTGAATTTCTATCCGCCTTCCTCCTCACTTTCCACTATCGGAAAATCAATACTAAAGGAATAGTTATCAGGTTGCACTCGCTTATACGGCAAGACATGAGCCCGAACTCCGAAACCCGCCGTCTGTTATCCAAGTGGTGGGTGAGACGCTATGGCCTACAGACTAGGGTCCTAGACTACTACCTTTCAGCTTTTGAGGGTGGTAGTTCGTGGCAATGATAATCTGAAACGCGAAATCGACTGACCACTTAGTGATCATTGAGAGCTGAGATGACCCCAAACCTCGGCTCTCCTCACCAATTCTGATTTCATGCAGAAAAATGAGCCTGAGAGGCCCTGAGTCTTACATACCCCCCCACTTGGCCTCTGGAGCGTTCCGATCTCTACGCCTCCGTTCCCAGTTCACAATTCTCGAGGTCTCAAACCCCGTCGGCATGGCCGCGTGGGTACGCGGATTTGGTGCCATGAAAGGTTAGATCGCGGAAGACGGTCGTATTACTCGACCCCCACAATCCGGACCCTAGGGTAGGACAATGGATCTAGAGCGAAAGATCTGCTCCCCTCGTTCGCTGGTTAGTTTGTGCCATATGCCATATAGCTAGCTTGACAGCTCTTCGGGCCTGCTCTTACACAGGGGCCCGGCTTTTCTTATGTGCTCCCGAAAATCAAATCTGGCGTGTTTCTATAGAGGTACCCAGAAATCATCTTCCGACTGGCAGCGTCTTTATTCCTGCCGTCACTACTATGGCACTCGTCAAAGTACTTGGGAGTTCTCGTTCGGATTGAATACCTGTCCCTTATTTATTGATAACCAAAAAAAATTTCACTCCGTGATCGGCTAAAGGACTGCGCTGGGCAAGTGCAAAATTCGCAACGTCACAATGGACAGCTCTCTGCCCCTCGTCGACCGGGCACTTGCGATCTTCGTGGTGTCTGTTGTGATGATGGGTATCTCGGTCGTGGCAGTTGTTCTACGTAGCTTTGTTCGCTTGTACTTAGTGCGAGCCTTCGGATGGGATGATGCTCTCATGGTTCTTGCCTTGGTATTACGATGCTGGAATAATCTGACGACGAGAAAGCTGACATTTCAGCAGACACTCTTCGTAATCTTTGGCATCTGTTGTACGATTGGCTCAATGAGCGGAGTCGGTCATAGAATGGTCGAGTTCAGGGGTCCAGAGGCATTGGATGAGCTTAAAAAATCACTACTGGTATGTTGTTTCCCGCGGTACCCTGCATATCCTTGCTGATAATCACCTCAGTGGTGGTGGCTGGGTCAGATGCTTTATATTTGGTCGTCTACTGTCGCCAAAGTATCCATATCCATGACGCTCCTGCGTCTAGCCGCGCGAAGATTGCATCGCATCATCCTGTGGGCCGTTATTGCCCTCGATGTCGTCATTGGACTCATGTTCTGTCTCATTCTGCTACTGGACTGCAATCCCGTCTCCTATTTCTGGCACCGTGTGGACCCTCGCAGTTCGGGAACATGCGTGTCCGGGGACGTTCTTTTGGCGATTGCCTATCTCTACAGTTTGCTCACTATCTTCTGCGATTTGACTCTCGGGGTCATGCCCGCCCTGCTGGTATGGAGTCTGCAGATGAATAGGAAGACAAAGATCGCCCTTGGCGGGATTCTCGGTTTGGGAGCTGTGTACGTATCACCAGGCAAAAAACCATTTCATCTGCCGGTGCCATCATCACAGACTAATCACCCGTCTTCAGTGCGAGTGTTGCAGTGATTATCCGATTCCCGTTCCTTCATTACTACGGAGATAAGGATTTTCTGTGTGAGTACACTCTTGATCAACCCATGGACCCTGCTAACGTCTAGCGAATAGACTCCACCTACCAAATCGCAATCTGGTCCATAATGGAAACCGGACTCGGCATCACAGCCGGCAGCCTTGCCACTCTCCGACCCCTGTTCCGCTGGTTTCTGGACGGCAACCTGTCCGGTCGTCACAGACGCAGTGCCAAACGCAATGACAGACAATACCCGCTTTCTAGCTTGCCGGATGATCCACCGAAGAAGGATTCTCGCGATCCAAGCTACTGGCGCCCTGACCTCCCGGAGGAATTTTCCAACGTTGTGGTGACCACCATCTCGTCGCCTATGGCGCGTAGTAGTCATCTGAATGACGACCACAGCAGCCAGGAGGAACTTAGTCTTCCTGAGGACTCTTGGGACCGTTACCAGGTCAACATCCACAAGACGTTCCAGTTGACTACCGCGCCTTCTTGATTCGATCTACCCTTGATCCTTCCTCACTTACATAGGAGAAATATAACGATTACAATGCATTATACGTCTCATAACGAGCCAGTGTTCATTTGACTGATTGATCATGGGTATACCAAAAAGGAACATTGCCCCGTCTGCCTCCGCATGAACATTCCCGTTCAACTGGGAAAGCTCCAGGTCGTGAAAGGAGTGTAGTATTACCAGGGCTCACTAGAGGCAACGCGTGTTTGGCGAATCTCCGGGTATGCGGCCTGATGCGGTTGAGTAACCAAAAAGCTTCATCTTGTCATCGACTTTCAGACTCCAGTTCTTATGGCTGCTGCGATTTCGTGGAGGTCGCCTGGAAATCTCGTGATTTGACCGACGACTTAAAATTCAACGACCATCAATGAGCCATGACTGAGGCATGAGAGCAACGTGAATTCGACTTGGAGACCATCGTGGTTCAGAAGTAGTCCACATGTCTATGGAGGGAATCACAGGGTATGAGCACTTTATATAGGGTTCTATCATAATCATTATCATGACGCATAATCGGTCATCTATTGCGAGCCAGCAGTCCCTCGGCTTCTTCTGAACGGCCTTCATAATCAGAGGCATGCTCTCCGTGCGACTTTTCTAATATGTCTGCCATGGCTAACCCGTCCTGTCGTCCCTTTTCTGCATTGACCATCCAGATCAGCGGTATGGGGAGAAGGATCAAGACCGAAATGAAGAAAAAGCCTGACCGCACCTGGCCCGTGGCATCGATGAGCACTCCCACAATGGCCGGGCCAATAAACGAGCTTCCTTTATCCGTAGCCGCGTACAGAGCGTAGAATGCGGCCTCGCTACCGGGGGGAATTAGCAGACCGAAAAAGGAGCGGCAGTAGGATGACAGTCCACCAGATACTAGGCCATGAACAATCCCCAGGGGGAAAATCTCCCATGGCTGCTGAAGTCCAATCACGCCCCATTTCTTGAAAAGAGGAATGTAAGCAAGCATGCCGTAAAGGGGTATAACCTCGAACAAGGCGATACAGAGCATAATAGTGTGGTTGGATTTGAGTCGGAGCCGCCGCGAGACCACTGGCCAGAGAAAGGCCCCGGCCATGCCTGACAGGGTAGCTGTGATGGACAGTAGTGCAACCGCTGTCGTGCTCATCTTTAGTTCTGTGTGCGCAAATAGAATAGCTGTACCGGACACCGTCGCCATTGCATCTGAAAGAAGGAACCAGGCAATGAGGAAGATGATCACTTCTCGAAGTTTGACTGCTACTTTGACCGTCTTCCATAATGACTTCCACGCAAACCCAATCAGCCGCAGCCAGACGCGCCACCGGCTGTTAGCCGCCGCTCCTTTTGAAGAAGCGAGGGGAGGTCCTGGTCTGTCGCGTAGCCACCGCTGACAGACCATGGTGAAAGAGAACCACCAGATCCCAACCAGAAGAAGCACAAACCGGAGAGGCAGAGTCCCTGAAATCTTGGGTAATGATGTCTTTGACAGCGCAAATAGCATCAAGATACTGAGTATTTGTACCAAAACGGCTGCACAATAGCCGAGTCCAACGCCTTTAGAGGAGATTCGAGTGGACAGTTGTAATTCAGGTGAACCCGACCCCGTTGCTTTTGTCTTAAGTCCATGTCCGGTCGTAAAATGGTCGTCAGTATCCCTGGCATCTTCTTCGTCAAGATCTTCCGATCGCGCAAATTCTCCGCTTGAGTTGAGATGCGGTAGCTCTTCCCCTTCCTCCTTGTGTGCGGTCTGAATCGATGGATCGTTGGCTACCAGAACAGGCAGAAAGGAATTGAGAACGACGAACGAGGATCCAAGACAAGTCACACCGACGACGACAAGAAGTGATCCAAGGATGTAGACCGGTGGCGCGATGAAGACGAATAACATGCTCGTCATAGAGCCAATGAATCCAAAAGCGAGGAGGAGGGTTTTGCGGTTATTTTCTGCGCGGGAGATAATTATCGTCAGCACGGTCTTACCAATGAGGTATAAAGCCGGTTCTCACCGTAGTCAGCCAGCGCGCTGAAGGAGATCAAGGTCAATGCCTGAACGAGAACCGCAAGCGAGAACGTGTACATGGCAAAACTGGCAGTGTTGACCTGCAGCCCCAACACGCTGACCACACACTGATCATTATCCGTGCCATCGCGTCGGAGCATTAACGTAGCCGTTCCATTTCCAGGGGCTGTAGAAGGCGAGCTAGAGCCTACACATGGTAGGTGGCTTGACAGCAGGGTTCCGCGTTCGCGAGCCAGTTGCTCTAGTGTGAGTGGCAGGAATGAGCCTGTCTCATAACAGATAAATCAGAAACGAGCTCTCACAGCCAGAGTAGATCGAAGAATAAGCTAGCGTACCTACACCACAAACAGCAAAGACCTCAGCTGCGATTCCGTACGCGTACCAGCCCAGGATCTCCTTCCGACTGGTCGGGGTTGTGTCCTCGCCGGGATACCGAGGCGGGCGCTGTTGGGCCTCCGCGCCGGGAGACGCGGGTGTGGAGGCCAAAACCATGAAGATATATTGAGTACAGAGCGAGTGAACCGAACGAGGATTCAATATATCTTCACAATGGCCACCATGGCACAGAGCGAGCGGAATGCTGCGAAGATGAATGCACGATTGCGAACATTATCCTTGCTTGACTCTTGACGCAACTTGTTTCTGTGCTGATTCATCATAAACCGGATGTTGCGGAGGCTCAAATTCATGCTGTGATTGGTTCGTCCGATCTATGTAATGGGGACTCCAAATATAAGCAAACTAAACGCATTCTGACAGCTTTTGTGAGGAGAGTATCTCAAGATTGATCCATGGATATCTATGGCAGCTGCCTCGGCCTATATTTGCCTGAGGTTCAGATGTTGCCCATCATACGAACACCCGTTCTAGAGCAAAGGTGGGAGCATCTCTTTGAGTGCCATAGACGCATTAATTATGGTCGAATATGTGCCTATGTGCCACCAAAGGGAAAATTGAGAGCGAGTCATGACTGTTGTAGCTGCATACGGTACTCCGAAATCTACCAATTGTACCTGAGGTTGGTTCCGCTCGGAGAGAACTTCCACTCCACACAATCAATCCGACTTGTCGTACATGAGAAGGGGTGAGTTCGCAAAATGCATTCCACAAACTTCTTGGCCTTTTGGTCTACTGGCAGAGAGACCGCATAATTCGCCGAACTCCAGTACTGTCGCCTGTCAAACACAGTGCCTCATATGAGGTTATCCAAAAATGGAAGCAGCACCCGCTACCGGGCCGGTTTAGGGCTTCCTTCTTTCCTCATTTTATACAAATAACAACACCCAGCAGTAGCTTCTGTATCCTTCTTCTTCCAGGTACTATCTGTTCCTCCCATTTTGTCTTAATTTTTTACCGGCTCTCAGTTCAGATCAAATTCAACTTACGTTCGACTCTTCTTGAAGCGGTTGCTCAAAGGCAATCATCACAACCTCCAGTGCTATCCGGTCGTCTGGGTTGACTGGTCCTAGCCAGCGAAATGACCGGGATGCTTGACTACCTCCAGTGTGCTCTGGGAAAGCTCCTATATCGCATCCGTGGTCACGATTCGAAGCAGATCATCAGAAGTGCTGCTTTCAAAGATCTTCCCGAACCCAACATGACCCTTGAAGCACCAGAATGCGGTCCCACCGGCTCAGTACTGCTTGACTTCCATACGTGCCTGGCCGAGGACAGCAAGGGCCGGTTTCCTGAGCTTCGCTGGACTGCTCCTCCTCAGGGCGACGTGAAGGAGTATGTGCTGATCTGCGAAGACATTGACCTGCCAATTCCCCGTCTCGTGATCCATCATGGCCTGTTCTACGGTATCCCTCCAACGACCACCACCGCAACGCATGCCGACATCAAACAGAAAAAAGATGCAGGAGAACGACTGACTCGCTCTAATTGGAAGTATGTTCCTAATCTGACTGGCAATTCTTACATTGGTCCTGCTCCGCCTCTGGGTCACGGCTTGCACCGGTACATTTTCACCATCATCGCACTCAATGAGCCTCTCCAGTTCGACCAAGCAGAACAGGTCAGCAAGCAAATGATCAAAGAGGCCATGGTTGGCAAGGTCATTGGCTGGGGTCAGTGGGTCGGACTCTGGGAGCGCCCTTGGCCCAAATAAGCATACGCCCAACGTTCGTCATCGATCATGACAAATCTATGAGACCATCACAACCTCGAGTGGAGACAAAGAAAGCATGGGAATGATTCAGTGAATTATGATTAGCAGGGAAGTAATGAGGTTGAACCGGTAAACTGGTGGCTCCATGTATGCTCTTAGTTCTCTTCGTCTCATCCTTACAACCGAAAAAGCACTTTGAAAAACATATGAAAGTCTATTCAAAGGCAGATGAACCTCCCCCTCTCTCCCATTTCAAAATAGGGTGCAGCTGATCCCTCACGCAGGGTCGATAAGCACGTCGTTTCAACTAAGTATGACAGTCAGATTCCGCAAACGAGAAACAAGCAGGACGCAAGGCTCACTGAACTGGAGCTGAAACTGTTCCATGAATATCACGAGCCGGTGAATGATGGACTCTATTGAAGCGTCCCAAGACCGAAACGACATTGTCCCAATACGGTGCGTATGCACAGTCTCTTTTGGCCGCGCCCGCATGATGTCCCTGAGAGCTTCCAGAAGCCCCAGCAGCCTCATGAGATTGCGGCTTAGCAGCATCCGTACAAGCAGAGCTGACTCCTCCTCGTTGAGCTCCGTTTGCCCTAGCAGCACTGCACTTCTAACACAAATAAACGGAGGCAGTTGCTGCTCAAAGGCAAGAATTGTTGGGTCGAACAAGGTGTTCTGCCGGTTGATACTGTACGCCGCACAGATCGCCTCGAATAGGAGGAGACATTGCTCTGCTAATGTAGGAAAGGTCATTATGGATGCTTGGGGGCTTCTCCTGCAGTCCTTGCATTTGATGATCGCTTGGCCTTGGCTGCAGACACGATGAATCAAATCAAAGACTGTTCCAAGTTCCACAACGGTGTGGATGCTACGGAGCTCGTTCATGAGATGCAGCACTTCCATGGAACATTGGCACGTATGCTCCATCTCCATTTGTTGATGCGATGTCATGAATACTCGGATGATGAAAATGCTGAGGATACCAGAGAAGAAATGAGGTCCGGTCCAGATATCTTGACAATGCGTGCTGACATTGCTAACCTCATCGGCATTGTTGAGTAGGACTCCCCGTGGTACAATCAAGGGACAAGCCCTCTCCAGAGCTGAAAGACCAATGGCTGCCGTGTGGGTTGCAGTAACTCCCTTGGCTCGTTGCTATTCACATGCACAATCGCATTCTACCACGGAAGCCAATCAAACCAGCGATTGGAATACACTTCCCGTTAGAACATTGGCGAGACAGCCTCACCATTCTCTGCAGTTGACTGGACAGATCCGAATTGTCGGCCCCTGAATAACTGTGATGAAATGTGGTACACGCACTTTTCCCAGGTCAGCTGAAGGTCACACCAATTTCGACAGCAACATTGCGAAAGACATGTTCGTGAAAGATCAATGATAGAGTACCGGTAGTATTCAGCGCAGGGACATCGTCATGCTGACAGGTGTAAGTGTTCTTTCTGACTTGCTACTAAGCTGCAGACTGCTGAGTGAGAGAGCTAGGATCAGGCCGATACAGACTGATCACAAGGCTGACTCGATCAAGGATTCCTCAGACATCGGCCTTGACGGGTTTTGAGATTGAAAATCGATATTAATGCATCATCTGCTTGAAGAGACTATGCCACTATGCTTGCTCAATAGACAAGTATATCGCTACAGCACCCACTATCGTCGTCATCTGGCGAACGTCCTCATCCTCATCATAAACAGCTGTAATCTCCGATCCGTTTCCATCATCATGCTCAACCTTCCACGCGAAGCAGATATCGCCAGCATCTGCTGCGTACAATACCTTATACGGCGGATGATGGCCAATAGTCCAGTCAGCCTTGCGTACAGCACTTGATGTATGAAGAGACATCTCTCCTCCAGCGGAACACAGAATCCTCCGACCATTAAGGGACAATTTTCTACCTCGGCCCTGAAATGGAAAATACCGCTTGCGGGCCTTCGGTTGCTCCCATCCGTCGCAATTTGCTGCCCAAAATCTGGCTGAAGAAGCATATGATCATGTAACTCAGGCAAAACACCCTCTATCAAACGACCGTCCCCGGATATGAGGTCTTCAAGTGTGGTGATTAAACTATCAATGCTGACAACCACCACCATGAGGAGATTAACTCGTGTCTTGGAACAGAGAGCACATTGCAGGATAGTTTCTGCCAAATGTTGCACAACTCGCTGAGAGCCCAAGATGGAATCAATCGTAGGTGATGGTCCTGTTCGAGAGGTACAAATGTTTATACGGATGAGCTCTCTGATGACTTGATCAGGGCACTGACACCGACACTGGCGACCAGTCACAGTACCCACGGGCGTGAGGCTCGGAGAAATATTATTAGTTGGAGAACCAACGTCATTTGGATGCTTCCAAGCTCGTGAATGGGCAAGCAGATTGGCTTGTTCTGTTGCAGTCCACGATTTTGCAGAGAGCGCCTCTGCCATTGAGAACTGCTGAGGCTTGACGGAAGCGCCTTTCTTGAGGAATTCAGGATAGGAGGCTTGAATCGTCGCAGGGAACTGGGTACTGCTGGCAACTGTCTCGTTGGGCGCGGGGTCATCTGCGAGATAAAGGCTCGCCGTCGGCGGATGATCCTCTCCTACCGGCGACGACGTGGGAAAGCTCTTCGGTGAGGACTCCGAATGATTGTACCCCTGTTTCAAGACAGCCAATGGCTTATCGTTTTTGGGGTTTTCGAGGGCTAGCGAATCAAAGAGATCACTCTCCTGTGCAAGTTCGGGACCTTGCTGAGAGAGAAATTCTTGCAGCCAGCTGTCGGAGGAGAAATCGATGGCATCGTTGACTGTAGGATACATTTTCCGTCAATGACTTTGCCTGGTTACGTCGTGAGAGAGTGTAGTCTACCTGCAAATGATGGCAGTTGATCCTTTTCGCCAAAGGTAGGCGTACTCAGATTAGTGTCATCGAGGGAGATATCGTCTAGCATAGTCTGGTCGACGGCAATGGTATCATAGGCTACTGTTTCTCCAAGACTTGGTGAAAAGTCGTCTTCATCGTCCTTCTTGTTGTGCGCCTGGCCTTCCTTTGTTTTTCTCTTGGAAACTGGCGCCTTCTTGTCTCGTTGGTGACGCCGAGGGTCGACGCATTGCGTTTCCGGTGGAAGGCCGGCGTATTGAGACTCCCTCCTCTTCGCAGGTCTTCCCAGTCGTCGAGACATGCTGTAGATGCACTCGATGTTATGCTTCAGACACCGTCGGCAAGACGGCTTCTCATGACTACAGCGTATCTTGGCCTGTTGACATGCGTTGCAGGTCGAACGCACTTTGACGCTCTTGGGGAGTCGATCAGGCGATGACTTGGACTGTTTGTCTCGGTTCATCCCGACGAAAGAAAGGCACGACCCAGAATGTAGATACTGTTCTGGAAAGTAGGTGTCTTCCTGTTCCAGCCAATTCATTCTCTTACCTGGTTTGTATATACGAGTGGATTGCAATTTGGCACTGACTGTCTTCCGTGTGTCGATCGACTAGAACGCCTCTTGCTATTCCCATTCCCTTAAGCCGAGACAGTTGAGGGCGCGAACAGACCATGAGGTAGCATCAGCACTACAGCCCTCTAGCCATTCATGTTACATGGTCCGCGTTTCACGGCCAAGTGGATGTTGAGACCTGGACTACCGAGGCGAGTAATCCGATACTGATGGCGATACTTGCATGGCCTGCGTGTGCGTTGCAATTCTGCTGTGAAAGATTTACCATGCTGATGTGTGCCTGATGGTTACACAGAGCAACGTCTCTACTTGTTCTTCCATATCGCGTTTGACAGGGCGACCAAAAAGCAATCTGACTTGATTACTTCTCGAATTTGATTCGCTTCATGGAGCAACGTAAAGTTCCAGCTACGGCCTTGGTACACTCTGACTGTCCTACATGGAATTATATGACCACCTGCTGTTGATCGACCCCGTAATTTGCCTCCATGGGAATGAAGCCCGTGCTCTTCGGTTCCGCAGACCTGCATGGAGCCGATCTGAACCACGTTGTGGTGGGCACCAATCCTCCTGACGCCGTTGTCGTCGTTGCCGCATCATTGTCGACGTAGAAGAAATTCCCTGCCACTGGCGCTCTCAATCCAGCAACCTCGACGAACTGTTTGATATCAAACCCGCCTCGTCCCTCTCTCGTCTTGGGAAAAATGTGCCCAAAACATTCTGGAAACACATAGTCGGGGTCCTGCTCGTAGAGAAGATAGACATATCGATGGCGTGTGTATGGCGGCGATTGGGGGGCGATGTATTCTGCTCCAGTGGAAGTCCTGTTGACTAGCCATTCATTTTCATTGCCCTTGCAGTGACTGGTAGCAGATGCCGTCATGTGCGGCTGGTACCAATGTAAGACTGTGGTTGAGCAGGATTCCAAGACCACGTCGATGTCGACGAAGAGGAGGAGGTAGGTCCGCGCGGCGTTGAGGTTCAGAGTGCTGATACATGGTATCGGGAGGGCATCTGTTCGTTTCCACTATCGCGTAAGCCATCGTCTACATCAGCTACTGGAATTGTGACTAACGTACCTGGTTGTTTGATGGTATCGCCTGGGGAGATCCAGGGGGTCGAGGGGTATCGCATCTGCAGAGTGGGAGTTCCCGGAGGAAGAGCCCACTGTGCTGAAGATATGGCTGTGAATACGATAAATGGGATAAATGCGTTCATGGTGAATACAAGCTACGCACAATATGCTCAAAGTCCTGGAAAGATTGACTAGCAGTCTGCTCTCGGAGACCTGACAGCTGAATTTATACGCAGCAGGAGGCCAAAACTACCGAAAAGAGCGCTGTGTAACTTGCAATTATCCCCGGGAAACAGCCAAGCATGAATAAACCGCTCGAATGCGCTTTATCTTCATCCAGCAATTGCCATCTCCGCGACGCGCCTGCGTCTCCATACCAATCCTTTCCAGTAGACCATCCCCAGTAACGGACTCACACTCAGCATCGCCCCCGCCACAGCCCAGTACGTAGTCCGATTCCCCCATTTCTGGATCATCGGATGGATGACGGCCGTTGCCGCCGCGCCCAGGAAGCATCGCACGAGGTTATTGGCCGCCATGGCGGTGGCCGGCGTGGTGTAGTACAGATCGACGATGAGGACGTTCATCACGTTGTATGCGGCCGTGATGCAGAACGAGATGAGGAACACGAGGGCTAGCGCAACGCTCAGTGCCGGTTTTCTCTCAATCAGTGCGCCGTACCAGGCGACTGAAAGTGCCGCTGCGACCTGTTGCATATCAGCCCGTTGCAATTGCAACCCTGGGGAAAGGAAAAGAGGTGCAGCGCGACCGTACCGTCATAGGAAGCCCGATCTGCAACCGTGCCCTCTCGATAGGAAAGTCGCCATGGTCTTGCTTCTGGTCCTTGGAGATGGGTTCGCCGGTTTTGCGACGGAGGCGGATGTAGTTCCAGTCGACGATGAGGCCGTTGAAGGTTGCGCTGACGAGGGAGCCTAGGCCCGCTGGGATGAAGCTGAGGCCGATGCCTAGATCGCTTAGTCCGTAGATTGCTTTGAATTGGGAGGGGATGCCGGCTGTGACGGAGTAGTAGCTTGCGAAGACTATGCCGTTGACGAGGACGAGGGGCCCTGTGGGGAGTTGGAAGAGGAGACGGAGTGTGGACAGGGGATTTGGGAAGGTGATGCTGCTTTTTTGAGGCGGTGGATGGGCATCACGGCAGGTATCTGGGGTGCCCTCGACGTCACAGTTGGAGGTAGTAGTAGCATGTCGTTTGTGCCACCGGTTCCAGACTGATTGATTCCATCCTGTAGCTGGGATCGACCCGTCCCCGACAATGGCGCGACAAGTCTCCGGGAAGAAGAGAAACAACGGTATGAAGAAGGTTATCGCGGCGAGGGCAAGAAACCAGAATATAGCCTGCCAGCCCAGGTACTGACTCAGAAAACCGCCTAGAATCGGGCCAAGGGATGGAGCTAGGATGTTGCCCAGCGAGGTGATACCCATGTACATGCCTCGCTCGGCGGATGTGATGACGTCCGCTGCCACGGCAGACGCGAGTGCGACAGTCCCGCTGCTTCCACAGCTCTGTACGGCACGGAGGATTAGAAGAGCGATATAGTTGTGTTGGAGCGCGAGGGCAATGTTGCCGATGATGTAGATGACGAAGCAGAGGATGTATGCTGGGCGTCGGCCGGCTTGGTCGGCGAAGGAGCCCATGAAGGAGGGAGCGAGGCCTTGACATATCTGGCTCCATCAGTGTCAATCACTTAACGAATGCAAAAGTTAATAGACGGAGGAATACCATGTACGTAGTGATGGTCAAGTTGATCTGAGAACTGGTGACATGTAGATCTGCCGCAATGGTATTGAGAGAGGGATAGTAGATGTTGGCCGAGAAAGGCGAAAAGCTCGAGGCCAGAGCAGCTGCAAGAATGATGAGACGCTTCTGTCCATTGGTGAAGACCGAATATCGCTGGGATCCTGCATGAGAGGAAAGCAGAGGTGTTGATTCCGTGGGTGGTGATTGAGAGATACTGGACTGCCCTGTCATATTGTGATATTCTGACAGCACATAAACACATGTAGTCTATACCCTTTGGCAGAATTGTTTTAACGGTTTTCGACCTCATCTTCAGCATAGTTTCCTCTATCTAAATGCTCAAAACTACGAGAGTCCGGCGCATTTCGCTTCCGTTCATACTAGCGGGTGACTATACGTATTCTACGCCTCGATATCCATACGTGTCGGTTTTAAGACCTCAACCATATTTTCTGATTATGATAGACTACGCAAAAAATTGCTCACTCTGACTGTTTGGATGTCTGTAATCCATCTTCATATCTTTGGCAGAGGCTTATCCTCTTTGACTTCCCCGGTATAGATATGAGACGGCCTGAACAACTTGCCGCGTTTCACTAAACGTACTCAAGGTCAGAAACTCGCCGATATCTTACCGATTCTTGCAAAGACTTACACATATACTCCCGCCAGTGCGCCATTACCCCCATGATACGCTGAGCCATCATGGCGGCCGGAATCATATCTGGTTCGAACCCTCTGCAGACACCCTTAGCCAACGTGTCACCTCTCCAGGCTGAACTCAAAGAGGATTCTTACATCCCGGTGAAGACAAAATTTCCGTAGAAGTCAGCATTGGGGTAGAGTCCCCTGCTCTTGAAATAGTCGTCGGCCGAGGCAACCTGCTCAATCCGTTCGGCGACTTTTAGGAGACTGTTCGAGGAGGTATCCAGATCCTTGAGAATGGACCTGATTGGAGCAACCCTGGGATCCACTCCCTTGTACGAGCGATGTCCGTATCCGAAGAGTCTTCGTTTACCCTGCTTCACTTCTTCGATGAAGTTGGGAACCTTCTCTGGCGTTCCAATCTCCCGCAACGCGAGGTTGGCTGACTCGGTAGCTCCGAAATGAAGTGGGCCAAACGCTGCCCCTATTGCTGTTATCACACACGATATAGGGTCTGTGAGAGACGATGCTGTGACCAGTGCTGAAAATACTGATAGAGCCATGCCATGGTCCGCGTTGAGCATGGCAAAACGCCGGAAACATGATATCTTTGTTAGATCTGGGAGTCCGGTAGTTGGATTTACCAGACCTGCTATCTGGAACAGATTCTCGAGGTAAGGCTTGTCGCGAGATGGTTGTGCAAACGGAATCCCTCTTCGATGGCAGTTTACCAACCCGAACACGACCGCGTAGGCTGCAACAGTTCGAATGATTGCGCGGTCGACCTCTCTGCTATTGCTTTGATATAGATCGGGCTTAGTCGATGCAGGAATACTCTCTGGCGCATATGCTAGACACGCTGAAAGTCCGGCTAGCATGAGAGGCAGGGGTGAGGTAGTCCTTCTGTAATGGGCTACCTTGTTAGCCTGGACTCGAAGTCTCTGCTGACATGGATAACTCACGGCAGTGTTGCTATGGTCCTGTGCACGCTTTTGGGAACCATAGCCATTTCCTCAGCAAGCTTCCGGCTCAATTCCTTCTTCTGCAAGGCCGTAGGATAACCCCCCCAGACGAGAAGGTGCAGCATATCCTCGAAATCGCTGTCCCAAAGCTGCTCCAAAGTATACCCACGAAACAAAAGGACTCCCTTCTCATGATCGCTAAGATCACCAGCCTGTCAGCTGTATCATCCCACATAGAAGCTCAGAGGTCCGCACGAAAAACTTATCCCCGTTTCCACCACCGTAGTATTCTGCAACCCGGGGTCGTGCACGCGTAGTCCGCCGGCAACTTGATCGGCTCGGTCCGCGCCAGCTGCTGGGGCTTTGATCCTCTTGAAGTCCATCGCTGAGACTACATTTCGTCTGATTGGGATTACATACTCCTCGCTGGTGCGCGAGTCTCTGATGTAAAGCGTCCCCGATGACATGGTGACTGTGCTCTGAATCCATTTGAGGTGCTCCGTTGGTCAATGCCCCTCTTTTATAGGACAGATATGTACATAAATGCGCCGAGCGGGCCATCGCTCAGGCGCGTCGAGGACGTCCTGAGGGAGCATGGGAGGAACAAAGCTAAAGTTCCGCGCTCTTTTCGGGGGATTAGGGGGGATTTACACCAGAGTCCGCTTTATTATTTTTCCCAAACAAGTTTCAGCCATGTTTGCATCGACTGCTGAGTATTATTCACTGATTGACTGAGCAAATAAAGTGCCCAAAGTCCTTAGTATACAGCCTGAAGAGTTTAACTCAACACAAAGTAGATCGAGGATGGCAACTGCAACAGGTGCGGTTCTGCAATTTGAATATATTCCTGGTTGATACAACATGCTTTCAAACAGATGAGACCTCTTTTCCGGTGAAAGTAGTTACATCCCGGTAGCAACAAGGTGTCTTCAAAAACTCAAACTCCATTCTCGTATTGCTGAGTTCATCGTATATTAAAATGGTCATTCATCGGCCTGACCAAGCAAAATTCGTGTTTCGTCCCATCTATTGGGGCATGTGCTCGAAAGGCTTGGCCAGGTGCTCCTGGCAGAAAGGAAGCTTGCCGACGGTCCAGATTTCCGTATCCTAGGCAGGGAAACATATAGTTAGCATATTTAAGCCGACAGCGGCGCCTCTGAATGCACGCACCGGCTTCAAATTCCTCTTGATGTCGGTGTCCAAGGTCCCAGCCTTGATGGCGATGATCTCTGGGGCAGCGTCTGGGTCGTGGGCAATTGGCGAACCACATTCCGAGCAGAAGATACGATGAACAGCCTTTCCAGAGCTCCCATTCTTCGCGAAGCTCTTGACGGGGCCATTGATCTTCAGCTTTTCTTTGGGGACGACCGCAACGAGAGCTGCAGAAGGGTGTAATTATTAGCCAACCAAACGATTATACGTTAATACATGAAAAAACTGAGAAGCAATAAGAATAAGATCGACCACGTACAATAAGTCGAGCCAGTCTGACGCTGGCAGTCATCGCAATGGTCGTATCCCACCAGAGCGGGCTTATCCACATCAATAGTGTAAGTGACTGCGTTGCAGAGGCAGTGACCAGTAAGAGGCATTGTGGCTAATTCGACTGATAATAACTAATTGAAGGAAAGGTATCACGATAGAGTCAACAAGGTGCTCAAAGTTGAGGACCTTTGTAGAGAAATGGTGATGAGGGGGGTTATTTATACCCCAAATCCCCCCTCCTTCTCCTCCATCTGATTTGGAACCATCAGCCATTATTATTGCGAACCACTAG